CCCCCGCCTGCAGATCTGAACCAGGGACAGTGAGGAGAGGGGCTGGGACGCGGGCCCAGGAGTGTTGCAATAGCCCTTCATCGCCAACTCGGATATGACGCCAGACGCCAGGACAGGGTAACGTCCATGCTCTGCCCTCCTCGTGTTTCCCAAGAATGGATGGCTTGCAGGAAAGATCTGGTAACCAGCTTTCTAGGAAGGGCAGGCCTTGCTGACGTCTGTCTCCGGGAGCAGTGGGGGCCTGTGTTCACAAAAGGCAGAGCCCAGAGAGGCGGGTCCAGGGTGGTGCGATGCTGGAAGCTTCCCCCACCACGGAGCAGACCTGCCCCCTCCTGCCCTTGGCACCCACCCTCAGATGGGTCCCCTTCCTTCTAGGACACTGCCCTCCACGCCAGCCCTTACTGCCTGCTGGCCCTGAAAGGCCTGTGTCCACCCCTGCCAACCTCCCACACAGGGCCAGGGTTGCACCACAGGTCCCTTCTCACCGGTCACAGGGACAGGAAAGGTGTTCGTGCCAAGAAGATTTTTGTCAAGAAAGAACACTCCCGTGGGCCCATTCCCATCACCCTGCAACGCTGACCCGGTCAGAGTGTGCGGCACACGGCTTCCAGGCAGCCTGTGATTTCTGGAGAAAGCTCTGGCAGGTGACCTCCCTTCCTGCCTCCACCCCCGCCAAGAACGACTCAGCCATTCTTCTCTGTGTGTATCATTCCATGGTGAGACCCTTAGGCTGGGTCATTATCCCCGCAGCCAAGCCTCGACAGAGCAGCTGAGGGCCGTCCATTACGCAACCTCCTCAGACATTCTGAACACGAGCCCAGCGTGCATGTCCTGTTTCCCAACCCCCCAGGATGGGTTCCCTCCAGGACCCTCCTTCCAGGATAAGCGGCCCTCACTTGAATGCAGCACCATTTGCCAGACACAGGGAGCCAAGGGGACAGCCTAGTGGGGAGATGAGACACATGAGCTGAGAGGCCACGCTGGCCCTGAACGCCATCCAGGCCTGGGGACACCCTCAGTTCTCACTCCCCTCCAAGAGGCACCCCGTCCTCTGAGCCCTTGGAAGAGCCTTGAGCACCCCTCAGAGCCTGGCTCAGGCAGCACCTGTCTGTCTTCCTTCCGACCCCTAGTTCCTCCGATCACATATGCCAAGGCTCTACCATCTAATTGCCCAATTCAAGTCCCACTCACTCTTCCTAGAAACTTGACCTTGGATGCAACACCTAACCTCTCAAAACCCCTGTTTCCTGGCCCGTGAAAGAATAACTGACAGTTTAGTCGTTGCCTGGAGGTTCTGGGGGAGGCGGCCAGGGCACCGACGCAGCCCAGGTGTGCGGGGGATGTGCTGAGCTCAGGGAGTGTGTCTGCCTGGGTCTGACCAGCAGGGCAGCAGGATTAGCCCAGGGCCAGAGCGGAGGCATGGTGTGGAGGATACCCAGCATTTGGGGGAGTCCCCGGGGAGGAGGGGATGCCAAGAGCAGGTCTCAGAGGGCCTGCCTAGCTGTGGGCCTGCTGTCCCACCTCACTCCAAGTGTGAGCGCTCAAGGGTTCAGACACGCCCCAGCCGCAGCGGGCATGACAAGGGCGTCTCCTGGACTCCCTCTGCCCCAGGACAAACAGGGCTCACCAGCAGACCTGGGATGTTTCTGAAGAAGGCTTAGGAGGGGGGCCGGGGACCAGAGGGCAGCAGGCACACCATGTATCCCTGTGGGTCATCTCTACCAGCTGATGTGACTGGTCCCCACGGCAGGCAGCCCACACACAAAAGAAAGTCCTCACAGCTCGGGACACTGGGCATCCGAGATGTGGGGTCTGGTGAGGACCTTGTCCTGGCCCAGAGACGGCCACTTCCTTCTTGCTGTGTCCTCACCCAGGAGGAAGAGGTCATCTCTCTCTACAAGGACACTGTCCCGTCACAAGGCAAAGGTCCCACCTCCTGATGCCATTATTTTGGGGGTCAACATGTGAATTCAGGGGGACCCAAACATTCAGACCACAGCAGCGACTAAAGCTCTGGGGCCCCCAAGAAGCTGGGGAGAACACAACGCAGCACCGTCAACCACTCAGGCCGGCAGCAGGCAGGGCGCACTCGACCCTGGAGTGCCAGCCAGGCAGCCCCAGTGGCCCGTCAAGGAGCCTGGGGAGAGGGCGAGGGGCCAGGCAATGGGGGCACCGCCAGCCACACCTGTGGACAGCAGTGGAGGGAGTGAAGATGAGCCGGGGTCCAGGGCTCAGAGCCTCACCCCACAACAGAGCTGCTCGGGGCCACGTGCAGAAAATCCCTGGGCTGAGAAGCTCGGGTGCCAAGCTGGAAATCACCAGACCCCCAGGAGCCTGTCCCTTTGGGAGACACAAGGGCTGACAGCAGAGACACCGGTGGGGCGGACCTCTGAGGCGCTGGGCAGCAGTGAGGAGTCGAGTGAATCTCAGACAAGACTCTCCACATTGCTGGGCACAGGCTGGAAGCCAGCAACGTGGCAGGGGCGTGGGTGGGCCACCCTGCCGGTCAGACTGTGGGGTCAGGGCATCTGTCCAGTGTCCTCGGGGTCACTGCCTGAGGACAGGCTCACCCTGCCGGCAGCGTCAGCTGCCTCCGACTGCTCGTGTGCTTGGGGCGTTCTAGAGAAATGCAGAGACTGCAGCAGCAGCCCAGACAAAATGCACTGGGGAGAAATAAAAACTAGAGCAGAAAACACACAACACGGTCCAAACGCACAAGCGAAAGCTGACTCAGACGCGACCCTGAGCAGCAGCTTGGCTCCAGGGCCCCGCCCCTTTCTGTTGCTGTTCAGTCACTGAGTCCTTCCGACTCTACGACCCCATGGACTGGCAGCACACCAGGCTTCCCTGTCCTTCACCAGCTCCCAGAGCTGGCTTAAGTTCATGTCCATTGAGTCGGTGATGCCATCCAACCATCTCATCCTCTGCCACCCCCTTCTCTTTTTGCTTTCAATCCCCATGGAAAACCCCATGGACAGTGTGAAAAAGCCCCTTTCTGTTACATGGACCCATTTGAGTGATTTTCTAAGAATGAAGAACTGTCACCTGAGGTCAGACTTGCACTTCCCTGACCTAGCGGACGGAGATCAGGGGTGGAGTCGGAAGCAGAGTGCTGGGGGAGGCGCTCTCTCCTCCCACACACACCCCCGCACCCCAGGTGGGGACCAGCCCAGTGCCCCTCTCCCCGCTGGTCTGTGTCTGGGCCCTGGGAGGGCTGGCCGCCCACTTGGAGCCTGGGTGCCGTGGGCGGGAGCCGTGTGAACCACCCGTGGGCATTATCCAGCTCTCATTTAGAGGCCGTGGCTGCAAGGGATTCCATGGACACCCTCACAAAACAGCAGAACCCAGTGGAACTTCTGCCTGTCTGCTTTCCTGTTGAGCACACTTCTCAAGCCTCAGGAACCCGGAGCGGGGCGAGTCCCTTCACCTGCCAGGGGCTTGGGCCGCGCCCTAGCCCCCCAGCCCAGGCCCTCTGGCCGGGGACATGGGAGCAGTGGCTCTGCCCGCCACATGAAGGCTGCCCCTCCCAATGAGAGCAGAGCATGGCCCAGGCCAAAATGTTCCGGGACGACTTGGAAGAGGAAGTGCGTGCCCAGTGGGGCAAGGGTGGCAGGTTCCAGGGAAAGGAGCAGCTGTCCTGCCCTCAAGGGCCGATTGTGCAAGCCCAAGGTGGGGCGCTGGGGATTAACAGGCCCAGACATCGCGTCCTGGTCACAGTTGCTGTGACTAACTGCGGGACAAACAGGAAGGCTCTCCACCTGCCAGAGCCCGGCCAGCGCTTCCTACGCGACCACAGCATCAGCGGCCCTGTGTTCCTGGGCGCTGAGTCTCTCAAGCTGTGACGTCAGCCGTCGGGGTGGTGGGGGGGGGGGGTGTGAAGGCGGCATCCGACCCCAGGCGGGAGGGGCCGGTGGGCAGGCAGCTGGGCCTCGAGGCGGACCCCCGCCCCAGAGCGTGTCTCCGCCTCCAGTGGCAGGACCTGGTCTGCTCATTTCCCTGTCACTCCCAACCCCCTGACAACACGTCAGGGCTTTTCTCCGGACAACTTCCAGGAGCGGGATTTTTCCAGTCCGGGTGGGAAGACCAGATTAAGAAAGGGGCTTGAGGTTTTGGGACCGAGGGGAGCAGAGCAAGGAGTAAATGGGCTTCTGCCTCAGGCCAGCCTCCAGCCCTGCATACTGTTCGCTCTGCTGGGTTCAAAGGGAATTGCACACCTGACCTCAGAGTTTCTGTCCTACAGGCTCAGGGGCCTGTCATCTGTCACTGTCACCACCCCGAGGCCTGGCCCAGGGTCAGAGCGCAGTACACTTGGTCCACAGCCAGAAACAGCTAACCAGGTATACAGCCCCAGAGACCCAGGTGGTCTTCACTCACCCGGAGACCTGCAGGCACAGCCCTCCCATAAACACACAAACCCGAGGCCCCACCCAACCCGGGGACATAGAGCAAGGGGGACAGGAGAACAAGTGTCCAACCTGAACCCTAGTCCAGCCCCTTGGGCAGAGGCCCTGGCTCACAATGGGCTTCCTGGGCTCTGCGCTGTAAGTTCCTGACTGCAGCGTGAGACAGAAAATAACCACCCCTCAGTGACAGGTCCATTCACACAAAGCACGGGTGACGGTCGCCCCGGGAGTGGCCCCCAGCCAGCCTGTGCCACCGACTTGAGGCCGAGGCCATTCCCTGGAGGACAATCTCCAAGGACACTGCTGCTTCAGGATTTTCACCCTTTTACATGCATCCCTTCCACTCCTGGAAAGAAATCTATACCTTGAGGCTTGGGTTTTCTTAATTTGTGGCCAAATTCCTGCCAGATTTCATGGGCTTGGAGACTAGGCATAATAGGGTAACCAGGGCCAGGCCACCTGCTCAGCATCGCAGAAAAGAATGACAAACCCCACACAGATGCACACATACAGACACACGTATAGATCGCACACCTGGACCCACATGCACACAGACACACACACTCCTAGACAAGAACTGTGGCTGCAAACACTCACAGTCATGCCAGGGACATCGTGACTGAACTTGACCTGTGTCCACATGTGGTCCAGGCAGGAAGTGCCGGGGGCAGGGGTGTGAGGAGACTCCACACTGGTGTGCACGTTGGGGGAGCGGGCCGGGGGAGCAGAGCAGGTCAGCAGCAAGAGCAGAGGCCACAGGAAAGTGGGCATAGTGGCTTCAGCTGCGGCATCCCGCCGTCCCGTGCACACGTGCCCCAGAGGAGGATAAAATCCAGGGCAGGAGGACATCTGCAGCCCAGGCCTCGCTATTCCTCCCCTCCCGGGGAGCCGGGTGAGAACCACGGTGGCAGAAAAGCAGGCGCTGCTGGCCCAGCCAGCGGAGGGGTAAAGGGGCCTTGGATGCGGCCCAGACGTGGGCGGGGCAGGCAGGGGCCCTGCTGCTCCCCAGGCACCTTCCTGCAGGCTAGGGGACCTGAAGGGAGGAGCCCAAGTCCTGGGCCCACGTGGCAAGTGTAGAACCAGGATTCCAAACTTGCTCCCTGGGTGGCGAGTGCCTGGATTCATCAAGAAGAGTTAATGCGCCAGGTACAATGTCCGAAGGCAGCAGGTTTGGGATGTGTTGTTTATATAAGAAAGTCAGGGTGACGGGTCACCTCAAAAAACAGCGTTGCTCACCTGAAGAGGTGAGCTCCACGGCCACAAAAAATGAGCTTATCATGCGTATCGTGCCAGCCCAAGGGGCTTGCTCTCTGACCCGTAAATGACCTTCCAAGCGTCAGCTACCCTTTATTTCTCCTCCGCTGGCATTTTGTTAAAGAACAAAAAGAAAAAGCACCAGTGCTTCCTGCCGGGGTCACTTCTACCTGGGCCTGCGGCCTTGCCCCTAGGGCAAGTCTTGGAAGTCTTGGGGCATCTGGAGCTGGCTTTCTGGCTGAGAGCAGGTGGGAGGTTCTGTCTGCTCCTGGCCTCCCCTGCCTCAGCTCTATGGATCTCAAAGAAAGACTAAACAAGAATGTTAATCCTGCAAATCAACCTGCAAACACTGAACAGAAGCTTTTAAAATTCAACACTTTTAATACTGATGATTCATCTGCATCTCTCCCTATCTTTCTAAATGGTACCATGTGATTAGGCAGCCACAGGAGCCTGTGGCACGCCAGCACGTGCTGTCTGAACACCACATGGGGGTGGGCAGAGGGGTGACTGGTGGGCGTCTGGCCACTGTCCCCTGCCTCCCTTCTTTCCCTCCCTCTGCCACCCTGTGGGCCTGCTGGTGGCACCCAGAGCATGGTGGCCAAAGAGGATGCCAGAGGGACCGAAAGAGCTAGTTGCCAGAACTGTGAAGGGCGCAGAGCAGGACAAGGCTCTGATCTGGAGCACAACTGACCAGACAAGGGTGGACACACACCCTGGGAGGGGAAGTGACTGTGCTGTGATTAAGGGCTACTGAAGAGGGAGGCAGGCTTGAATCGTGGCTGGACCACGTGGGCAGGCAGTGCAGTCTCTCTGGATCGTCCCCTCACCTGCAGAAAGTGGCTGTGAGCACCGGGCTGGTACAGACACAGGCCCTGATGGCCACCAGGAAACCAAATGCTCTCAAAAATGGAATGGATCTTTTTTATATTTTCAATGAGAATCAGACGTTGCTCCTGCCCCCAGGTCCCCAGCAATCTGCCTGCCATCACACAAAGCGAACCCTGAGGTCATCCCAGGGGCCTGGCCTGCACCGCTTTTTTATTTTTTCTGCACTGGGTCTTCACTGCGACGTGCAGGCTCTTCTTTGCAGTACAAGGGCTTTCTCTAGCTGCAGTTCATGGGGGCTTCTATTGTTGCAGAGCATGGGCTCTAGAGCACATGGGTTCAGTAGTTGCAGTGCATGGGCTTAGTTGCCCCGTGGCATGCGGGGCCTTAGTTCCCCAACCAGAGATGGAACCCGTGTCCCCTGCATTAGAAGGGTGAATACTTACTTAACCACTGGATCACCAGGGAAGTCTCTCAATGCTGTCCTCAGTCAGTCCCAAAACAAGTGTCCTGGGCCTGTGCACTCACTCTTCCTGCCACCCGGACCCTCCTTACAGACATTCAAGAGTAACAGTCTGCATTAAGTAATTTATTCTGAAAAGCTGGGCTGCAAATATGCCTTCAATTAAAAAACATAATAAACTAAGGCTAAGAGTCATTTTTTGAACAATTACTTTGTATGTTCTAAGACACAGATAAGTTGATTTATCTGATAAAGAATTCAAAGTAATGTTAATAAAAATGCTCACTTAACACAAAAGAATGGTGAATACAGAGAATCTGGACAGATAGACAGAAAAATATAAGAAAGTAGCCAATAGAAGTCTCAAAGTTGAAGAGTACAGTAACTGAAATGAAAAATATACTAGAGGGACTCAGCAGCAGACTACATGAACAGAAGAAAGATCAGTGGTTTGTTAAGACAGGGCAGAGGAATTCATACAAACACAGCAGCAAAAAGACAAAAGAACTTTTAAAAGTGAAGATAACTTAACGGACCTATGGGATGACCTCAAGTAGAATAACAGTCACATTACAAGGGTCCAAGAATGAAGGGAAAGAAAGAGAAAGGGGCAGAAACCTTATTTGAAGAAATACTGGCTGAAAGATTCCCCAACCTGGGAAATTAAGCAGACATCAGATTCAGGAACCCCAGAAAGACCCAAACAAGATGAACCCAAAGAGACCCAAACCAAGACATACTGTAACTAAAATGTCAAAAGTTAGAGAATCTTAAGAACAGCAAGAGAAAAACAACCTGCTGTATATTGTTGTTGTCGTTTAGGTCACAAAGTCATGTCTGACTCTTGTGACCCATGGACTGTAGCCCACCAGGCTCCTCTGTCCATAGGATTCCCCAGGCAAGAATACTAGAGTGGGTTGCCATTTCCTCCTCCAGGGGATCTTCCCAACCCAGGGATCGAACCCACATCTCCTGCATTGGCAGGCAGATTCTTTGCCACTGAGCCACCTGGAAAGCCGTTTCATAATGGATTGGTAAAAAAATTGGGGTTTTTCCATAAGATGTTATAAATAAGGGAGCAGCCACAAGACTTTGAGATGATTTCCTAGCAGAAACACTGCAGGCCAGAAGGGACTAAAATGGAAAAAAAAAAAAAAAAAAACACTTCCATCCAAGAACACTACCCAGCAAGGTTATCATTCAGAATCGAAGAAGAAGCATTTCCCAGACAAGCAAAAGCTAAGAGAGTTCATCATCACTAAACTGGCCCTACAAGAAAAATCAAATGGATTTCTTCAAGCTGCAAAGGAAGGGCACCAATTAGTAGCAAGAAAACATATAAAAGTAAAAACCTTACTGGGAAAGGTTAACAGGTGCTAGGGAAGACTCTTGAAAATCCCTTGGACAGCAAGGATATCACATCAGTCATTCCTAAAGGAAATCAGTCCTGAATATTCATTGGAAGGACTGATGCTGAAGCTCCAATGCTTTGGCCACCTGATGTAAAGAGCCAGCTCATTGGAAAAGACCCTGAAGCTGGGAAAGATTGAAGGCAAAAGGAGAAGGGGGCGGCAGAGAATGAGATGATTAGTTAGTATCATCGACTCACTAGACAAGAATTTGAGCAAACTCTGAGAGACAGTGAAAGACAGAGGAGCCTTGCATGCTATAGTCTGTAGGGTTGCAAAGAGTCAGATATGACTTAGTGACCAAACAACAAAAAGGTTAAGTACATAATAAAGTAGATTATCATTTATAAATCTAGTATAAAGGGTAAAAGTCAAAAGTAGTAAAAAAAAAAATAACTATAACTACATTTAATTAAGGGGTACACAAAATACAAAGATGCAAAATGTGACATCAAAAACTTAAAGCATGGGCTGGAGAGTGAAAATACAGAGTTTTAATTTTAAGTTTTTAAAATATTTACTTATTTGGCTGTGTCAGGATCTTCAGTCTTTGTTGCAGCATGCAGGATCTTTAGTTGCAGCACAAAAACTCTTAGTTGTGGCATGTGGGATCTAGTTCCCCAACTAGGAATAGAACCTGGGTGCCGTGCACTGGGAGCATGGAGTCTTAGTCACTGGACCAGCAGGGAAGTCCCCAGAGTCTTAGAATGTGTTCAAACTTAACTTGTTATTAACTTAAAATAGACTAACTTAAAAACAATAAATATATATATATGTGTGTGTGTGTATATATATATATATAAGCTGTTACAAGTAAGCCTCATGGTAACCACAAAGCAAAACCTATAGTTCAGCTCAGTTCAGTTGCTCAGCCATGTCCAACTCCTTGCGACCCCATGAACCACAGCACGCCAGGCCTCCCTGTCCATCACCAACTCCCAGAGTTTACCCAAACTCATGTGCACTGAGTCGGTGATGCCATCTAACCACCTCATCCTGTCGTCCACTTCTCCTCCTGCCCTCAATCTTTCCCAGCGTCAGGGTCTTTTCCAATGAGTCAGCTCTCTGCATCAGGTGGCCAAAGGATTAGAGTTTCAGCTTCAGCATCAGTCCTTCCTATGAACACCCAGGACTGATCTCCTTGAGGGTGGACTGGCTGGATCTCCTTGCAGTCCAAGGGACTCTCACACCACAGATTAAAAGCATCAATTCTTTGGCGCTCAGCTTTCTTCATAGCCCAACTCTCACATCGATACATGACCCCTGGAAAAACCATAGCCTTGATTAGACAGACCTTTGTTGGCAAAGTAATGTCTCTGCTTTTTAATATGCTGCCTAGATTGGCCATAACTTTTCTTCCAAGGAGTATGCGTCTTTTAATTTCATGGCTTCAGTCACCATTTGCAGTGATTTTGGAGCCCTCCAAAAATAAAGTCTGCCACTGTTTCCACATTTATTTCCCATGAAGTAATGGGACCGGATGCCATGATCTTAGTTTTCTGAATGTTGAGCTTTAAGCCAACTTTCTCACTCTCCTCTTTCACTTTCATCAAGAGGCTCTTTAGTTCTTCTTCACTTTCTGCCATATGGGTGGTGTCATCTGCATATCTGAGGTTATTGATATTTCTCCCGGCAATATTGATTCCAGCTTGTGCTTCCTCCAGCCCAGCATTTCTCATGATGTACTCTGCATGTAAGTTAAATAAACAGGGTGACAATATACAGCCTTGATGTACTCCTTTTCCTATTTGGAACATCTGTTGTCCCATGTCCAGTTCTAACTGTTGCTCCCTGACCTGCATACAGGTTTCTCAAGA